CTGTTAATAGATAACTGTTTATTATTATTATTATTATTATTATTATTATTATTATTATTATTATTTTTGTTATTATTATGATTATTGCTATACAAGTACATCTCAGCTCTCACTGGCCTGTTTTCACCCGAGGCTGTCCGTACTCCACGATATTCTGTGGAAGTCCGATGTATTAAATTTTTGGAGAAGTTTTTGGAAGCAATTCCCTCCGCCGAAATTACAAAAGGGGAGATAAACACTTTATTGAGCTGCCAAATATTTTTCAGTTCCACGGCCAAATTTTCATATTTCTGTATTTTTTCTGCTTCAGTTTTATTGCGAGAAAACGGCACCCGGCAATAATATGTTCGATGGATTCTCCAACTGAGTCACACTTTCTGCACTTGTCCTCCACGTTGAGTTTGAGACAGTGTTTTCCATAATTGCGGTTTCTCATGACTCTGTTTGAATAGTCATAATAAAGCCTTCAGTCGCGAGATATAGATGTCGAGCGTTCAACCAAGCTAGCGAGGCGACCTTATCAATGTGATCTGCATCCAGATTTCTAGAGAATTTTCCATGTAGAGTTTGTTGTCTCCACAAAGTTTGGTTTTCCTGTCTCGTGTTCAGATAAAACGTGGTTTCTCGGTGCTGCAAATTAAGTGGCGTGTACCCTTTGTCCTCCTCGGCGATCAAATGTATTAAGCGGTCCTGCGATTTTAAAAGTCGTTGTCTTAGGTTCATTTCTTGCGTTCGGCATAGACTGTAGATGTCCACTAGACCTCTGCCTCTGCTTTTTCTGGGAAGATAAAGCTTTTTTACCGATGAATTTGTGTGCAAGTATCGGAATTTTGTCATCAGACGGCGGGTTAGTCTGTCTAACTCATTAAGGTCCAGCGCCCTTGTTGCTTAGCAAAATGTTGGACTTCCATGTACCCATCACGTGTTTAATCACAGTTCTCACTTTGGGGCATATGTTATATATTTCTAGCACTTTTATGAGCCAGTCATGAGGGATTATTATTATTATTATTATTATTATTATTATTATTATTATTATTATTATTATTATTATTATTATTATTATTGTTATTATTATTAGTGTGTTACAATTTCAAATTCTAGTAATGAACAGTTTTGTGAAATGTTCCGTTTGCCTAAAGCCCCACGGTAGCTTCGCTTTTAAACATTAACCGTTAACTTCTGAAATTGTAAACGTGGACCTACGGAGTTTATTTTCTTATCTACAAAGGAGGTAATTATTTAAGTCATTATACGAGTCGGCGATTTCTTTTGTCCCTATGGGAGAATCTAGCCAACAGTAGTTTGTTAATTTTTCATTACGTCTGTGGCCCGTCAGTAGTTTACGTCCGCACAATTATAAATGCCTCAGTTGGTAGACTTATGTCCATATGCCGCCATTGTGTTTTTTTTTTCTCACGAAGGGTGCAGTCTAGCAAGTGTTATTAAAATCTAAAACTTCATCTTATCGGAAGTGTTGTTTACAATTTAATATGAAGTTGTTTGGTAAATGGTAAATGGTGCAACAATCAAATATCAAAACGTAAACTGCGCTGCTTCTCAGTAGCAGTCAATTGCAGTCAGTTCCAGTCCGTTGAAGAAATAGTTAGTTGATTTCAACAAAACAAACTCTCACTGAACATTTCACCTCTAAATCCTCGATGTTCTAAAAAGTAAAGTTTGTTTATGTTATTATCATTTCTGCAGAAAGGCAAAGTCTTTTGCAATTAGCAAAAAATGCAATAACAGAAAACTAGGTTTCTAAGTATTCCACGCAAAAATAGAATTTCAGGACTCCAAAACATCTAGTAGACGTTGAATACAATTGATCTAGCAGTTGCTGTTCTGACAGAGACGCGTCAAATCGAAGAGAATATTATTAAGATCATAATTTTTGCTTTGGAATTTAAAAATATCGTATAAAAGTGGTCCTTTCATTTTAATATGGATGGAAGCGATAAAGGTATATTCATTTACCGTACATATGAGAATCATTGAATATTTGCAGTTCACCGCAGTGTTTGTAATAATCTAGTTTAAACAATTTCAAGCTTATATGTTCGTATATTCTAAGTGAACAAAGATTTTTTTTTATATTCCATTAATTGGGCTTTGGCTATAGGCAATAAAATAAAATTTTTCGTATATGAGCAATTCAAATCAATTTTTGATAATATGTATGCCCTAAATTAATGAAATGTGATTAAATTTTGTATTTTACGTTCATTTATGAATATTGAATCATATTTTATATCTAACTACCTAACTTCAGCCTATAGTTTAGTTAACTCTATTTGCTGCTCACACTTTTCTAATATGTATTGCTTTGCTATAAACCTTCAATGTTTATGTACAATCTAAGTCTAGTAGGTCGCTAAGGTTAACAAACAAGTGTGTTCATAATTAGCAGCAAATTTTTCGAAAATTGTCGCTTAATCATCTGGTTTTTGCTTCTTTGGTAGGTGATAGGCAGGTCAACCTTATTTTTAATTTATAATTATTTATTGCTGCAAATTTTGATAAGAAAATGTCCACCAAATGGACAAGTAAATAATATTTTTAAAAAATGCACCTTAAACTTACGAGACACGTAAGACAAATCCTTTACCTGGGATCGGAAAATTTCCCATTTTGACATAGGGACATGATTTTGGTTGTAAATTTTATTAAAATGAACTACGCCAATTTTAGAGGTAAAAATAAAGAAATATGGCAAGATTTTGTTTTTTTTTAGATCTTTTTGCAAGAGTTTGTGTAATTCCTCACTAAGCACGCCCTCCTCCTCGATTTCTGGCAAAACCTCAGACTTTTAAATTTTAATGTTCATTATAGTTCATTTCTGACATTTTTTTTTACAAGATGTTCTAGTCCCTTGATTTTTTTTCTGCAATTGAAAGTTCGTTTTTCTATAACTGCCCTTTTTTGCTAAAGTTAAGATTTCATGTTCATCGTTGTTCTCAAATGTGTCTTAAAGTTTTAAAATATCCTGGAAAATATTGTCCTAACAGTGAGTTCAAGCTTAATGGTTTTCCAGAGTCTGGAAAAATGTTTTTTTTTTAATTGGTGTAATGGTATAACCCAAGTTAATTTAATAATAATAATAATAATAGTAATAACTAATAACAACACAGTGTTGCGTTCGGTATTCCATTCGACTTATAGAAGGATTTTTAATTTGGCTTGGCGTAACCCAAGTTAATTATGCGTTGTTGCGAGTTGCGTCCTTTGGGCTACTCATTTTTTTAAGAATCCATGTCATTATTAAACCGATTACAGCAATGTGGCTTATGCTTATGTGGTCGCATGTTTTCAATAATTTTTCTGATTTTTGAAATAAAAAACATGCTTGTCTCTTGAATCTTGGTATCTTGATATCTTGGTATCTGGTTAGAAGTGCGGGTAGTGAAGCTACCGGTAGAAAAGCAAACAACAGGCTGAAAGGGTCAGATCGAACGAAAGCTTCGGACTGACAAAAACGTTTCGGTGACTCACCCAGGTAGTATCCACCTACCCGCAGACCAGAACTGGTCGCCGCCGATGTTTTGCTTTATTTTTTGATTCGCCATTGTTTTCGGTCGACATGAAGAAAGAAGCGTCCAAACGCGGACGGAGTCGCCGCGTCGTTAAATATGAATCTCCTTTGTATTATTTTTTTTATTTGAAGGGAAGCGAATCGAAATGCTGCTCGCTAGCGTGTCAAAGCCAACGTAAGGAGTGTTGTAACGCACGTCGAAACTTTTATTAGGATATATTGAATTACAAGGCGTTGAAACACTTCGACTTTTAATTTTCTCAAGCTCCGATGGAAGAATTGTGCCTGATTAGTAAACTATCAGAAAATTAATTTTTTTTTGCTCGTAAAGAGGAACTGATAAAATCTAAGTCAGAAGTCACATGTATTAATTGAAATTAATTTAATTTTTCTCTTTTGTTTAAGTTTTATGCCATTGTTGTACCAAAATGGAAAATTTTTCACCTTTTTTCAAATAACCTATATATGCATATACGCATATAGATATGGATAATATGCATATCTATATGTAATATTCTGATTGGTAGACACATGAAGTTCATAAAGTAAATAATAAAATATATATATTTCAATTTTAGGGCATACCACGATTTCTTATTCGTAGTCAGAGTGTCTGCAAACATCTGTAACCAAAATTTATTCAGAAAATACCTACGAGGGCTACCTTTTATATTTCGGGATTTGTAATAAAAAACTATAAGCTAACAACAAATATGACTTCATTGTTTCTCAAAATATTCACCCACCCTTGCATTCAATAAAACGAACCACTTATCCCACATCGAGTCAGGCAAACATTTTTTAATTAATTTTAACAATAAATGAACAAAGGTGGTATATAAATGAAATAAAAGTGTTTAATTATATTTTTAACTTAAAATGGTGTAAAAAATTAGTGTAAATGGTGCAAAATAGGGTTTTACGTCCCCAATACTATCGTAATACCACAAAATTTTAAATGTGTTTTATAAATATTCATTTTCTATCAAGGCAGACCCGAACCAGACTGTGATATATTTTTGACAGGCATATAAAGCGAAAAACTAATTTCCTGGAAAATATAGAAAAACACAACTTTGATCAACGTTCAAAAACATTTAGGAAAAAACTTACTACCTTGCTGCTACCTGAGAAGTTGTCAGAGAAGTGAGATGCAAGGGATACTGGCAAATGTAATATTTCCAGTCTCCCCCTGTGGATACGATTTTAAGAATGCTTCGGCAATTTTTGCAAGTTCCTATCTTTACTAATCGATATATCAATTTCAACCACTGTACCGTTTATCCCACCAAGAATGGCTCTCTCTGTTATACTTTCGATATCCTTCAACGACCGTTAGAGGGCGCAACTTGCATGGCTACTAAAATAAAACATTTTTACGATACTTATAAAGTCTGTCTGCATGTACTGTTAAATGTTTATAAGTGGACTATTCGGGGTGATTAATGCCAATTTTTTTCTGTTTTAGGTCGATAGGTGACATGGATTCCACTGGCTCAGTATCGGCAGTCGAGTCTGCCTTGGACCGGCTCGCGAAACAAAGAAACGACCTCGAAGAGTTATGGGCTGCGCGCAAGTTGCGTCTGGACCTCTGCCTACGACTGCGTCTGTTCGAAAGGGACGCTCTCGAGGTGTCCTCCCAGTTGGAGATGTGGTCCGAAGAACTGCAACACAGCGAGTTGACGCGGGACATCGGGAAGGCCGAGCAGTTTTTGCGGTTGCACAACGAAAGCGTGAGCCAGATGCAGAACACCACCTACCAAGTGCTGCAGCAAGGTCAAGAACTCGTCCAAGTGTTCGAGAATTCTGGACTTTGCATCATGGCCGATGCTCAATACAACGCTCAAACCAGAGTCCAGGTATTGTTAGAGTTCCTACATGATCGCGAGGTGGACCTTGAAGATTTGGCCGAGGTCAAGCGGGTTAAGCTCGAGCAGTGCATTCAACTGGGTCAGTTCCAGAACGACGCCAACCAAGTTATCAGTTGGATCCGTAACGGCGAGTCTATGCTGAAAGCCAGTTTCACGATCCCGAATAGTTTGGGTGACGCCGAGTTGCTCAAAAAGGAGCACGAACAGTTCCAAGTAGCTATAGAGAAGACTCACACCTCCGCCGTTCAGGTCAAATACAGGGCGGACGCTTTGATCAACGCGAACCACTACGACCCTCAGAGTATAAGGGATATATCAGAAGAAGTCACCAAAAGGTGGCAGCAGTTGGTCACCTGCGCCGAGGAGCGTCACAAATTGGTCACTGCCAGTTTGAATTTCTACAAGACCGCCGAGCAAGTGTGCTCGGTGCTCGACAGTTTGGAACGTGAGTATCGACGAGATGAGGATTGGTGCTCCACCGGTCAGTCGAACGTAGACAAAGCCACGTCGATCTCGCAGCTGATTAACAAGCACCAGGAGCAGAAAGAAGCGTTCCTGAAAGCTTGCACGTTGGCAAGAAGAACGGCGGAGACGTTCCTCAAGTACACCACCAGGAGTTTACAGTTTTACAATTGCCCCAACACCGGCGGGAGTCACGAAGGTCGCGTGAAGGGAATCCTGGAGAAGCTGTTGAACCAAGAGAACAAGGTGTTGGAGCATTGGACTCAGCGCAAGAAGAGGCTCGACCAGTGCCAGCAGTTCGTGCTTTTCGAGCGATCGGCGAAGCAGGCGATCGAATGGATTCACGACACGGGAGAGTGTTATTTGACAACCCACGCCACTAATTTGGGCAACAATATCGAAGAGACCGAGAGTTTATTAAGGGAACACAACGAGTTTAAGGGTACGGCGAAGGAGACGCGGGAACGGGTGAAACTGTTGATTCAACTAGCGGATAGCTTGGTGGAGAAAGGTCACGCTCACGCCAGCGCCATCAAACAATGGGTGGCAGCTGTTGATAATAGGTACAAGGACTTTAGTTCGCGTATGGAGCAGTACAGGCAGCAGTTGGAGGAAACGTTAGGCATTCAAGAAGAGGAGAGCGAGAAGAAGGAGCTCTCGATCGATAGGAATTCCGATCCTAGCTTGGAGGCGAAGGTCAAGGAAGCCGCAGCGAAGGATTTAAAGGAACTGAACGAGGAGAAACGTCGGTCTGCCAGACGAAAGGAATTCATAATGGCGGAGCTGCTACAGACCGAACGAACTTACGTGAAAGACCTGGACACGTGCATCAAGTGCTTTCTGAACGAAACCAGAAGCAACAACGGCGTCCCCGCCGCCCTGCAAGGAAAGGAAGACATTATCTTCGGTAACATGGAAGAAATCTACACGTTCCACAATTCGGTATTCCTCAAGGAACTGGAGAAGTATGAAACGATGCCCGAAGACGTAGGCCATTGCTTTGTGACGTGGGCGATCAAGTTCGACATGTACGTCCATTACTGCAAGAACAAGCCAGAGTCCAACAGCTTGCTCGTTCAACACGGGGGCATTTACTATGAAGACCTGCAGAAGAGGCACAAAGTGGAGCACCCTATCGCGGCGTACTTGATAAAGCCGGTTCAGAGGATTACCAAGTACCAGCTGCTATTAAAAGACCTCCAATCCTGCTGCAACGAAGGCCAGGGCGAAATAAAAGATGGCTTGGAGGTTATGTTAAACGTCCCGAAGAAGGCCAACGACGCGATGCATCTGTCTCTGTTGGAAGGCTGTGATATTTCCTCGGATAAGTTGGGGGAGGTGGTTTTGCAAGACGCGTTCCAAGTGTGGGACCCGAAACAGTTGATCCGCAAAGGGCGGGACCGGCACATTTTCCTGTTTGAATTGTATTTGCTGTTCACTAAAGAAGTCAAGGATTCCGCGGGAAAAGTCAAATACATCTACAAGAACAAGCTTATGGTGAGTGCATTTTTCTAGGTGATCAGATAAGGACCACTCATTTGTAGGGCTCTCCGAGTTAAGGGTAATTAAAACAAGCTCTGCTAAAAGACTGCACAAATCTGTGTGTACAGATTAGTTGTATTCTTAATATCTTTCTAAATTTATTTATTCAATTACACTTACCCTTATCGGCTGACACTAAAAAACTTGACACATAACATGTAAGATAAGAATTTATTTTTACTTTCTTGAAATTAATTTTCATTAGAAATGAAGACAATGCGTCATCGCTTCTCAAGCGGAAAAATTGTTTATGGCTCTTGGACCCACTCACTTTGTTCTGTTAGAGTTCCAAGTACACAAACTATCTCTACATTCCCCACAAACGATTACAGGACAATAGAGGTGTGAGAGCTAGAAAAACATATTTTTGTGCTAAGAAGTGATGACATGACCTCTCCGCAAATTATATTAATTATTGTTTGGAATCACAGACCTCAGAACTGGGTGTCACAGAGCACATGGAAGGCGACGAGTGTAAGTTTGCCGTTTGGACCGGTAGAGCGCCGATTTCGGACTACCGGATCGTCCTCAGGGCGTCTTCTTTGGAGACCAAGCAGTTATGGGTTAAAAAATTGCGTGAGGTCATTCAGGAGACATACTTCAGCGGTGCTTTGCCACTGACCTTGCCCAAGAGTCCTGCAAAATTAAAACCACACAGTCAGAGATCGAGCAGGTAATCATCAGATCGATTGTTTCGTATTGAATGCTGAAAAATCCATCTATTTTAGGGATATGGAGGAGTGCAACTCCTTAGATGAGAGCGTCGAAAATTTGGATAGGAACTCGCTGACTTCTTTCGGTTCGGGCAATACGACAGACTCTGATAAGGTAAGTGGACTTTATTGGAAAAACTATTATCGTAGAACAATTGATTTTCTGAAAATGGAAAAATTATAAATGACTTCTCGCGAAGAACTAAGCCGTTAATTCCGCTGCCATTGCGCGACCTCTTACTGCTTTCGCCGCAACTTATAAACCTGCGTCACAATTAGAAAGGTATAATATTGTGCGCGCCATCTATGCGTGAATAACTGAACTCTACTAACGATTTTGATGTGATCACAGTTACTTCGTCCATCTATGGAGGGCGTTGCAAGGGCTAATCTTTAACTTCGCCGTTGATTTGCTTTTTCCGGATTTTATGCAAAAATTTGGTCAGTTCGTTAATTTGTTCGGTCGGTCATCGAACGGAATTGGACAAATTGGATAAAACAAAATTCCGTTCTATATTTATGCCTGACATTTGTATGGACCCATTTAGCAATGAATAATTTAAAAATGTCAAATGTCAGTTGTTGTCCATTAACGTTACTGAGTGTTTACTTGGTACGCTTCGGTAATGCTCGCCGGTAATGTATAAATGGGAAAACCACAAATGCTATAATGTGCATTTGTCCAAATCACCCGAGGCACCGGCGGCGAACACCGGAAAGCGGCCGAAACATTTATCCAAATAAAGAGCGAGGTTAAAATTGAAATGTAAACACGGCTCAGATAGCAAATTAATTTATAAAATGCGGTTAAAATATTTTACTTTGGTTAATTATCCATATAGGTGGTTTCCACTATACAGTGTACTTACAAACAAAATAAAATTTTCAGTTTACGAAATAAAGTAGAAGTTACTAGACATGATATTACAATTTAAGCTATTCTTTAAGCTAAACCTAAGGGATTTTTATTTTACAATTTAACCTTTTAAAATAGGTATGTTTAAGTTATGGGCGCTGTTCTTTTCTAAAATTTTAATGCAATATCAATTTTTTAATACTTTTTATCCTGATAACTACATAGATAACTTTTATTTTTTGATTCTTCGTAGCTGGTTAATTTTTTTCCTAATCCAAAGTTTTTCAATTGACAACCATATCCTCAAAATAGTCGCAGTTGAAGTATTGGATAAAGATATTGATAAATCACATGTTTATTGAATAAATTTAAAAATCATCGATAATTTTAGCTGTAAGAACAATTGGGCACACGTTTTTATTAACCTTTCATGATTCGTGATAATCGCCATATGCAATTTACCGAGTAAAAGGTACCTAAATACAATTTTACTATGATCGCAATGATTTATTTAAAATAATTGACCGCTTTTAAACAAACACATTTATGATAGGTTTGGCTCTTTGATTAATTAAAATGCAACTGAATCTTTTAAGCTGAGTCACCGTAAATATTATCAGACGTATCTTAAAAACATTTTAATGTAAACAAATCGTAATTATTCTCTATCGAGGAAAATTCTTTCTCCACGGAAACGCTTTGCCGGCCTCCCTCTCGCGCAGCCCCGAGCGAGCCCCGAACGCACCGATACGATTTGTACAAATGAACATTTGGACAAATACGCCCATCTCGGATAAATAATATAAAATATTTTTTTGGATCTGGTCGAATTATCGTAATTAAATTATATTGCCCTCTTCTTTTGTAATGGATTTTAAAATTGGTAATAATAATTTGTAATTCAAATTATTTATTTATAACGAGATATTTATTATAAATGATGATTATTTATGTAAATGTAACACATAAAATTCAGACATGTGAATGTAATTGTGCATCGAAAAGGAATACACCTAACGGATGTTATTTTGTTTTTAATTTTGGAATATTTTAACGATTTAAACAATGAACTAAAACTTAAATCTTACTGCTTTTTCTTGCTCCTAACAGATATAAATAATATTTATCTTTCCATTAACACAGATTCTATGCAGATCCGAGGATATTTAATTCAGATGATTGTAAGTTTTTGTAAAAATAACCAATTGTGATTGTGCCTGGTGGTTGGGTGGGTCCGAGATAATGTGCTGACTCTACTGCAGTAAAAATTGATGCGCCGTAAGGGGCTATAATGTTTTCGTCGAGAAGGTATGGATCTTTTGCGCATGCGTCACCCCCCAACTATCTGAGTTGCTACATTGCCGTCATTTTTCTGGAAAATTGATTATTGTTTTCATTTTTGAGGTCAATATCTCCGTACCGTACTCACAAACTTGTATAATTTGTTCTTTCATTAGTTTTTGCTTTCATGAAATTACAGCAAATGTGGCAAATATGAGGACTTAGTAGAATATTCAAACTGGAAAATAGCCTTACACAAATATTTATATGTGAATATACTAAGCAGAATTCCCTACATTTTTAGGTACCTACTTAAATCGCTACGAAGGATGTTTGGGTAGTATGTTTTAGTATACAGGAAATTTAAGAAAGCAATTAAGCTACAAGTTGATTTTCTACTAGAACAAGCATAAAAAATACTTTTTGTCAATTACTCTCTATAGTGCTTCTTGAATATATTTTCACTTAGAGGTTAAGCCTATGAGTTTATGCAAACTAACGCTTTGCGCCGATTTACAAGCAAAAAAAAATCGGGGCTTAAAAATCAATTAATTACAAAATTATCCTGACCCCTTAACTTTTTTTTCCCCTAACAATTTAATAGGATTTCTATATATTTTGTGAAAATACTGCCGTAAAAATGCCGCTACCAAACATCGACGATCTCTCAGTGGCCATGTTGTTTGTTGAAAGCCGCAAGGTCTTATGGGTCCTACGTCAGAATTTGCCATTAGAACTGCCATTGATTAAAAACGAAATTTTAAATCTCGCGCATGCGCCTATTGAATGGACCTTCTCAGAAAAAAATTACGGTCCAAGAAATACAAATAGGTCACTTTAAATATTTCTTATTACTATCTTATAATTCCGGGTCGGGTATGCCCAGCTATGGTCTGTTCATAGATATAAGAAAGTGACCAATTGCTTTTGAACCTACCTGTGTTTAATATTCTTTGGTTTGGAATACTACTTAGTTTAAGTTTATCAGTAATCATTCTTATTTCGTGTGTAATACAGCGTGTGTTGAATCGTGTGCGAATTATGCAAAATATGCGCGAATCTAGTGTATCTCAGGAGATGCTCCCGCCCAAATGTAGAAAACACTATTCTATTGAGACTAAGGAACTTATAAACAATGTTTATTTGACTCTCATTGAACGTGGTGCCAGCAAGCAAGCATCTTTAGAAGAAACGGCCACATTGACGAAAATTCCAACATCAACTGTATGGAAAATTGTGAATAATCCCATTTCAGCCAGGAAAAAAAGAAGCGATGCTGCTACGTTATCAAGACGCCATTCCAACGGTGTGAGGTCGCGTCATCTCCGAATTAACAACCCCTGCATTGACTCAATTAGAGGTCGGATTCCGGGAAGGGTGGCACCGCCCCCACTCCTCCGCCCCCCTAATTTATCACACGCCGACTTCTTTTTGTTTTTGCGCCTGGGCTGGGGAAAATGTCACCGGTTCACGACCGGGGGTACCGGGAAAGCGTCGAAGCGAGGGCCGATAAAGACGACGTCGACGTCGACTTCGGGTGAATTGATAGGCGTCGCGTGTCGTTTTCTAGGAACAGCCCGGATTCGCCACTCGAGCGCCGGAATGCGTGTTGCATGCCTCCGGTGCCGGGCGGAAACGGGCCATCGTCTTAATTGAGGGCGACGTTACCGCGTCGACTGATGGGTTTTAATCTTTTACCTATTAAACCGGCGTGTTGTTGAAAGGGCCATAATGACCGTCTGTGTATGAAGATCTATCGACATTGTCGAGCACGTAGTTCGAAAATTGTGGAAAAACACAAAAACAACAGAGAAACTAATTTTTGAAATCTTTTTAAACCTTCTATTTTTAAAATCGTTTCTAGACCATGGATTTTTCAATCAGTAAAATAAATTGTTACACGTCAAACGTTTTGTTCTATTCATACTTTTCGTCCCTGTATGGCTTTCAGTAATAAAAATGCAAAGAACCGCGAAAAGGTGATATTTAATCCCTCTTGAAAAAAATTTGGATTAAAACTATTGATTCTACTACAAATAATTAGCCCTAAGTCCATACGATTTCGTCGAAAAAAAAAATTATATTATATCTACAGCAAAGCTTAAATGGCCAAAGTTTTAGAGGAAACTTAATGCATTTCATAACTGGCTTGAATCCTTTTTTAAAACCAGTCTTTTCGTTATCGTCTTTTGTTATCTCGCAACTCGCCCAAACTTTCATTTTTCTTATGGTCGCCATATTGAATTTTTCGATTTTTGGAACGAGTGTAAACGTTCCAGTTCAAAAAGGACACAAAATATTTTTTGGGTCTTACTTATTTACTAGGTCATGATTTATTTGCCACCTTCTTTCCGTCTTTGCATTTGTTAAATAATTCAAAGTATCAAAATTGTATTTTAATAAATAGTTCGTGTTCTATTATTAAAATCATAAATGTAACGCTATTCGAGTCAGGAACGTCTTAAGTGAGCAGTTATTTCATTAAATGATCCTATATCTTGGCTTCTAGATCCCTTGACCTTTGACCCTTGGATTTCTTCGTGTAGAGTTACTATGAATATGCAAATAGACGTCATTTTGCAAATCTGTGTAATTATGTAACAAGAATTCTTAAAAAAAAAACACACACACAGTTGGTGATTTGCACACATCTGAAGTTGCAATGCGTTTATTCGTTTTTTATGTGTTACTTATTAATGTTAATGTTAAACTGTTTTTTCTACTCCCACGAATCCGAGCCACGAGCCAATCGGATGTTTTCGGAGATATTTCCCACGCTTTGAATTTTGACGTTTGTCAAGTCAGTGAATGTATTCGAGTTGTTCTACGAAAAGATACTCAAAAACTAACGGTCGTAGAAAAAGTATAGTATGCAACACGTTCGGTAAACTTTTTAACTCACTGGTTTATAAAACACTCGCTCCGCTCGTGTCAAATAAACTCGTGGGTCAAATGCCGTTTGCCGCACTTGTTGCATA